ACTGACCTTGAAATCCTGGCTTGCACGTGCAGCCATCGATATGGTGACACTGGAAATTCCCCTCGGAGCACTCGCACATATTTTTGCATTGCTCTCCAAAGAATCCTTCGGGGCAAGCTGGAATAGTGCAGAAGGCCTGCCAGTACATGAAAATCAACTTAAGTATTGAATAGTAGAGAATATAGACAAACCTTCCCGGCAGCTCTGCCCCATCCACCCAGGAAGGCACTCGCATTCCCCATCCGTCACGTTGCACCGCCCTCCGCAGCTGCAATTCTGACGACAATCGAAGCCGGAAGTTCCTTCCGGGCAAGGCTCCTCGCACTGCGCTCCTCTCCAGCCATCCAAGCAATTGCATTCTCCTGCGAATTCCTTTGTCGTTCAGATAAGTGGAACCTCTCCTGAACGACTATGAGTGAGAAAACTGAATTCATCGTAATAAAGCTTTAAACCTCCTTTAACGTTTGCATGCTAATGGAAGTTTAATGCTTCATTACGCTAAAATCAGTTTCATGTAATCCACCCTATGTTTTAAACCAGACCTGTGATGTGGTGACATTCGCCGCCGTTCTTGCAGGTGCAGATCTCTTGGCATTGGTTTCCAAAGCGATGTTTGGAACAGACGTCATCGCACATTTTGCCCGTGTAGCCGGGGTTGCACACGCACTCTCCATTCGTGTGGTTGCACCTTCCTTTAAAAATATGTTTGCATGGAATTATTTTTGCAAATATTTTTCCTTAACAATTTGGCCCCAGCAATTTTTTGCTCTCTAATAATTTGCCCTTCCATCTCTTCTGAGATTTAATTTTCATTCTCTGACAGAATAACCTAAACTGAGTCACGACTCCATCCCCTTTATCTAAGTACTAGCGAGTTTGTTTGCCCTTCGGGCAAACAAACTCAGTTTGGTTTGGTTTCGGTTAAAACGGCTCAAGGCACATATTTTGCAAAAGGCTCATTTTTATGAATTTTCTGATCCAGCAAAACAGAGGGCGTATGAAAGTTAAAAAAAAAAACTCGGCAGATAAGAACCTGATGGATAGCTGCGTAAAGAAAAAATTCTAATTTTATTTTAAATGGACAATAATCAGTAGCTGACTGACTGACATAAGTAGCTATTCGCATGCTGAGTTAAGAAAAATTTCTACTTTGGTGATGTATGCCATAGAGGCACACCTTTCGGGGAACATGTTTTCAAAAAGTTCTCTTTGCTTCGAATGGACACACATGGAAATTCGAAATTTGGCAAGATCGTGACCGTTGACGCACTGAGCTTAAATGCCAAACGTCTAATTTCCAAAATAGTTTTTGGGTTCATATTTCTTCAGAACGTCACGTTTTCAAATAATTTTTCATATCCTACCGAATCGGACAGAAATAGAAAAGTATCTAGCGCACGCATAACGGACGTGATGTTGATTTAAGTAAAATTCAACTTTTTTGCGCGTCTCCTCTGGGCACATCTTTTGGGTGGGTCGCTTTTCCAATTACATTTTTTCTGTCAGCAAAAGGGGAAACGTATAAAGCTGAAACTGGGTGGAAAGGAGGTCCTTGAACCTACATTTCAAAAGGGAAAACATTTTCGTTAAAACCTATCAGGGCCCTTTTTTAAAGTCCCATTTTCCTGAATTTTTTTTTTATCCAACGAAACAGAGACAGAAAATATCAACTTTCCACAGAAGTACCTATTTAATGGCTGAATACGGAAAAAACCCTACTTTTGAAATATGTCTCCTTAGCGTAGATTATTGGAGGGAAGTA